TTTTTAACCTCAACACTGGTTCATTGTTTTTTATTTTTTTGTTTTTGTTTTTAAATCATGCTCTATTATCTTTAACAGAGACCTCTGTAACATGTCATTAGAGACCATTTCACCCACTGCTCTGTTTGGCTGCCAGCCTCTTATCTCTCTTCAGCAATGGTGAGGTGGATTCCTTCCTCATGGAAGAGAAATCCACGGCTCACTGCCTTTGCCGATGACGAAGACATTGGAGAGCGGGTGGCAAAGCTGTTGCTGTTGGCATCTTTCGCATGAACCACATCAAGAGCCAGGGCGCTTCTCTCTGTTGGGGATCACTCCATTTCTTCCCAAGTTAGCCCCTCCGGTCACCACATACAGGTTACCAGTGTTGAACTTGATGAAATCTGTGATCTTGCCAGATGCCAAATCAATCTGGATGCTGTCATTGACCTTGATGAGGGGGTCAGGGTAGCGAATGGTGCGAGCATCGTAGGTCACCAGATGAGGGATCCTTTTTGTGCCCACAAAGATCTTCCTCATTTTGCACAACTTGTACTTGGCTTCCTTAGCTGTAATCCGATGAACAGCAAAGCAATCCTTAGTGTTGTAGATCAGATGGAAATGCTCTCCTGTCTTGTCAAGGCTGATGACAACCATAAAGTCTGCGGGATAGGTTGTATCAGTTTGGACTTCTTAATGAAGTGCTGCATCGAATCTTTACTTCATCTCCCCCCAGAACATACCTAAGTCTGTTCCTTAGGAAGATGATGAGAGGCAGACATTCTCTCAGCTTATGGGCAATGGTGGATGGACAAGGAGCAAACACACCAGCCAATGTATCCAGCATCCAATGCTTTGGAGCTGCTATTCGCTTCAGATGCATCTTGGGACCCTGAGCCATGGCTGAGCTCTAGCCAACTTCACCGTCCTCACTCCTGGCTGTGTGGCTCCTAGCACGGCACCCCGGCTCCTCTGGTTCACTGTTTTTTTGAGTATTTTTTTCCCCATTTATGCCTGCATTATCTAAATAGTAAACATGTCTTTCTTAGTCTTTAAAGAACAGAGAACCAGATATGGCCAATGGGTTATACTAATGTTAATAATTGCTCTCTAAGATAATACTTAACTTTTTGTTTTATTTTATTTTAGTACTAGAAATCAAACTTGGGGCCTTGCACTTGCCAGACAGGCACTGTGCTGCTGAGCTACGTCCCTAGCAGTAACTGACTTCTGTGAAGGGAATTTATAAAATATGAGTAAACTTAGGACTTAATTATCTTTGAAATAATATTTTAAAAGTCTTACTATCTACCTTGACCTGTAAAATTAGATACACATTATGAAAACTTTCACTTAAATCTATTAGGCTATGGTTAGGCAATGCATAATGTTGAACAAGACTTTTTTTTTGAGATAGAATCTCACTATGTAGTTCAGGCTGGCCTTCAACCCACCTCACTATGTATCCCATGCTGGCCTTGAACTCAGAGTGTTCCTAATGACTCAGCCTCCTGAGTGTTGGGATTATAGACATGACCATCATGCCTGGCTTCAGCTTTTTAAAAACTTGTATTAAAAAGCCTGCATTTATATAGAAACTTTAAAATATGTTGCCACATTACAGTAGAAGTTGATCACAAGTTGGCATATTTTATTTTTATTTATTTATTTATTTACTTTTTGTGGAACCCAGGATTGAACTCAGGCCCTTGCACTTGCCAGAGAAGTGCTTATTCCACTGAGCCATCTTCCTGACCCGAGTTGGCATATTTTAAAATGTTATTTTTCTTATTAGATTATAAACTCTTTCAAGATGATCTATTTGTTTTAGTCTCTTTATCTCCACCAAGTCTACTGTAACTTGCATTGGGTATTCACAACTTACTGTCTTGATTATCTAGTTTTAAAGCTGCTTTTTATGAGAAGTGATTTACAGGTAGCTCATGATAGAGTAGAGAATTTTTAAGGTTCTTAGGGTTCTTTTCAGTATACAACTTGATATTTTTTTGCTTTCTTCTAAAATATTATGTAATATTTGAAGAAATGCCTGCTTGGGGCATGTACTAGCATGCCTCTTTATAGAATAAAAAAATAGATATAGAATTTCATACTGTATCTTTAAAAACAAGTATGCAGTGCCAACAAGAAAAGAAAACTCTCAGATTAAATTTTAATTTTGACTGCATGGAAAAGGACACTGAAGCTAGAGAATGATGAAACTGTTAAGAATGTGAGGCATGATTGTTGTCTTCTTTTTGATATTTACAATTGCCCAGAAGAGGAACAGCTTTATCAAATAGTATACTTATTAGAGAAAATATCAGACTTGGGAAATTGAAAGCATGATAAAATTTAATGAGAGTTGGTCACAAGTAATGTGTGTCTCTATCCCGGCACTGAGGGAAGCAGAGGCAGGAGGATCATAAGTTTGACCTTTTCTGATCACTGTCATATTTATCAGAGGGAGGGTTGAGAAACTCAGATTCTGAAGCCAGAATTTTGCTTTAAAATCCAGGTTCTTCAGTATTTGATCTCTGTGACTTTCAGAAATAACTACTGAGCCATGATTTTTGTATCTATGAAATGGTAATAAATGCATACAGAATCCTTAAGGATTATTTGAGATAAACTTTATAAAGTTAATACCTAGCACTTAGAAGAATTCAGTAAGTAGCAGCTATTGATCTTTCCCTTTCTCCCTTCTTCCTTTCCTCCCTTCCTCCTTTTCTCCCAGTCATGGGAATTGAGTCATGTTGTGCAGTCCTGTAATGAAGAGGTAGTTTTACTAGTAACACAAGCCTTCTGTCAAAAACTTTGCTAGGGGCTGGGGAGATAGCTTAGTGGTCTAAGCACCTGCCTGGCAAGCACAAGGACCCAGGTTCGATCCCCAATACCACATGCCATGCCAGCCCCAGAATACCAGGCACACCCTGCTGGGCACTGAAACCAGGTGTGGTGGTACACACCTGAAATCCCAGTGCAAAAGAGGCTGAGAGAGGATCACTACCAATCCAAGCTGCCTAGTGAGACCCTGTACCAAATCAACCAATCAATCAATTATTGAAAAAATAATCACAAAAAACACTTTGCTAGTAGCAATAAAAATTATTAGTAAGGGCCACAGAGATAGCTTGGTGGTCTAAGTGCCTGCCTAGGCAAGTACAAGGATCCTGGTTCAGTCCCCAGTATGGCATGAGGTTCAGGCTCCAACCCAGGAGCGCCGAGCCGCCACCAAGACCAGGCCTGGTGGTGCATGCCTGTAATCCCAGCACAGGGGAGGCTGAAACAGGAGGATCACTATGAGTCTGACCTGTGTAGTGAAGCCTTGTACCAAATACATAAAAATATTTTTTAAAAAATTATTAGTGAGGGCCAGCCAGATAGCTCAGCAGATTAAAGCACCTGCTTAGGCAGATGAAGGGACCAGGGTTTGATACCCAGCCCCTGGTATGGCGTTCTGGCCCTGCCCGTGGTGTGCACTGAGCCTGGGCGTGGTGGTGCACACCTGTAATCCCAGCTCTTGGGAGGCTGAAAACAGGAGAATCACTATGAGTCTGATCCATGCAGTGAGACCCTGTAGACCCTGTACTAAAAGAAAAAAAAAAAATTAGTGTCACATATGACAGGAGGATCACACATTTGACGCCAGCTTGTTCTTCACAGCAAGACCCCCCCCCCAAAAAAAAAAGCAAAAAAGGAGACAAAGAGGTAAGTTCTTCAGCATAGTATGTAAACACTACTAAATACAAAAAAACTAATAATTTAATGTATTTTTGATATAGCATATGTTTATATACACCCGTAAGTACATACACACACATAGCTCCTCAGGGACTATCTTATGCATCTAGGATGTTTTGCAGCAATTGCCAGCATCCATGCGCTACATGCTGGTAGCACCAGTACCTGACTTCCCTGGTGGTGACAATCAAAAACGTCTCTAGACATTGGAACTGTGTTCCTGACAACTTCTGTCGATGCTCATGAAATCTAATGCAGTTTCTTCGACTCTCTCTGGCCATTTCTGCTGTTTCTTGGTCCAGTACAGTTGCATTTGGCTTGTGGAAATAAGAGTTTTTAGGCTTAGCCACTTTTGGCCTAGGTAAATAAGCATTTGTTTTTGTTTTTTAGAAGAATGCAGCACAGTTAAATTTTAAGCTATAAAATATGTTTGGTAAAAGTAAGCTAAATGCAGATTCAGGAGGGCTATATCTAATAAGAAAAACAGTCTTAAAAATTCCATGTGATGTTTGTTCTAGACTACAGGGTGAAATAGTTTTTTAAGTTTAAAATTGCCTAACACTGTTTTCTCTGTGTAACTTATTTTAGCTGAGAGAAGAAAAGGTACAAGAAGAGAAAACCTCTGAAGATCAAATCCACAAGCTGCTACCAGAAGATGCAGAAACAGGGAAGAAGAAAATGGATGAGCAGAAAAAAAGAGATGAGCCATTAGTAGTAAAAACAAATCTGGAACATGTAAGTAGATCAGCTTTTTGATGGACATCCGCCTCAAGAATCAGGTGATGGGCCGGGGATGTGGCTCGGTGGCGCAGCGCCTGCCTAGCAAGCGCGAGGCCCCGAGTTCGATTCCCGGTACCAAAAAAAGAAAATAGTGAAAATAAGACCAAAAAAAGTCCTTTAAAAAAAAAAAAATCAGGTGACATGGGTTGGAAAGTTCTACCTTGGTAAACTATGAGACCACATACCATCATTAACTTTGTATCTTAAGAATAGTGAAGAACTTAGCATCCAGCTGAGAGCTGGAGAAAATAATTTTTGCATGGGACTTTGAGACTTGTGGAAAGATTCAGGCAACACTGAGGCGGTGGGGGGAGGAAGTTACTAGTGCACTATACTAAGTGTGCTAGATGTATATTGGCATTTTTACTTATGTGTCACTTTTGACATTTGAGTTTTATGCATCTCTTATCTTCAACTAGATACCCTTAAAACGTTCATTTTCCTTGCCCTAAACAGAACAGTGCTTAAAATAATGTCCTTAATATTACTTTGTCTAACTTAATCTAAATAAACTATTATTTTAATTGGGTCTAATCTTACCTGAACTTTTTTCATATTTATCAAGTAAATAACTGGCAGAGATTGTAATTTGTGTGTTTAACTTTGTAAGAAAGCACTTTTGGAAGATCTACTGATTACTCTTAAGTGGATGGATACTTATAATTGAGCCCTGCTTTTCTAGTAAATCATGTTGGATTGGACATATACTGCTTGCAGTATGTACTGACATATCTTCAGAGTCACATGTTATGAAGTACTTTTTTCAGGCTTGTTATATTTTGGGTTATCTTCTTGGATTTTTTTGTGGCACTGGGATTTTTCAAAGGTTTTTTCCCTGAGCTATATTCTCAGCCTTTTTTTTTCCCCCGAGTCGCACTACATTGCTAAGTCTTCCAGACTGGGTTCAAACTTGCAATCCTCCTGCCTTGGTCTCCTAGATTGGTGTGATTAAAGACATGTGCCACCATGCCTGACTTGCTTGTGTATTTTTGAAGACATGTAAATAATCTTAATTTTTCTTTCAATGTCTCAAGAGTGTTGTTTTGTTTTGTGTTGCTGTGCACATAGTTTCATTTAGTTTAGCCACAGTTACATTCAGATTGGAACACCAGTGGTCCCAGTGCAAAACTAGCTGGAAGAATTCTTTATTTTCTAGGGAGTACCATGATCAGAATTAGACTAGTCATTTCACTCTTCTCCTCTAACACCTCAGTCTCTACATTTCTTTTGGAATCAAATGAGAACTCTTCATTGCAACATTCAGAACCTTAAGTATAATTTCAGCTTATCTTTATATCCTTGCTTGTATCCCAGAATTCTAGAAGGTAGAGCTGTTGGGTTTCCTAAAATTACATACCCAGAGCTTTTCCTCCTCCATGGGCATTTTCAACAACTTTGCGTTGAAAGGCTATTCCTCTCTCTATTGAGTTTAAAAACTGTCCCCTTTGTGCAACCTGGAAGGATTCCTCACTTGTTTCTCCACTCATGTCATCCACTGTCCCTTCTTCTTGACATGTGTTTTAACCCTTTAAAAATCTACTGTAGTGCTTTACATATCATTTTTATATTATTTTGTGAAATTAAAAAGAGAATACAGAATAATAATACAAACATTAAAAATGATACAGAATTTCATTAAACAAAATAGTATGAATACGACATTATTTGTTCTATTGCATAGTGTTATCTTCAGATTAGTTGTGTGTGTGTGTGTGTGTGTGTGTGTGTATAGCATGCAAAATTGGAAGAAAAGCTGTAAGAAACTAAAAAGAAGAGAAATAAAAAAATCAAGCATTAATTGCTTCTTTCCATAAACCAATAGAAATCAGCAGTAAGATTATCTAAGTTATGCTAAATACATACATAGATATATATTTCCCCCCTTCCCTCTCCTGTCTTCCTCATCTTGGTATTTTATTCCCTTTCCCTTTGAACAGATTCTTTCCCTTTTCACAGTATCTATTGTACCTTTCAGATTTTATTTACTCTTTCAAATTATTACACTAGCAAGACAACACAACATTTGCACATGTGTATATGGTTTTATTTCAGTTATGAGTGTGGTTTCCAGTTGCATCCATTTACTGATGAAAACTCTCAAATTTATTTTTTATGCTTGACTAATACTGCATTGTATAAAAATACCACATCTTTTATCCATTCCTTAGTTGATGGGCACTTGGTTTGTTTCCAAGATTTAGCTATGACAAATTATGCAGCTATAAATACAGGTACACATACATCATTGTGGTCTGATGTTTTCAGTTCATTTGGAAAAATAACCAGGAGGGGGTATCTGGGTTGAATGAGACCTCCAAACCTAGCCTTTTGTGGACTCTTCATTCTGATTTCCATAGTGGTTGTATCAATCTATACTCTGACCAACAATAGAGAAGTAGTATAGTAGTATAACAGTATTTTCGTTGTATAATTTCAAGTCAGGAATGTGATGCCTCCTGTCTTTCCTTTGTTACCTAGTATTGCTTTTGCTCTGGCTATTCTAGGTCTCTTCTGGCTCCAGGTGAATTTTAAGAAGTTTTCTGTAGATGTTTCTGTGAGATATACTAATCGTATTTTTTTTATACTAATGGAATTTTAATTGGGATTGCATTGAGTCTGTATAACAATTTTGGTAGTATGACCATTTTCACCACGGTGGCTCTTCCTATTCAAGAAGAAGGAATATCTTTCCATATTCTGAAATCCTCTTCAATCTATTTTTCTCAAGAATACTGTAATTTTCACTGCATACATCTTTCTCTTCCTTTGTGAGATTGATTCCTAAGTATTTCATTTTTTTCGATAGTGTGAAAAGCATGGTTTTCCTAATTTCTCTCTTAGCTCATTCATTGTTTGTATATAGAAGTGCTATTGACTTTTGAGTGTTAACTTTTGTCTTGCGAGGCTATTGATTTTGGTTATTAAATCTACAAGTGTTTTGGAGGAGTTTTTGGATCTTCCATGTAGATCTGCAAATAATAATTTCACTTTTTCCTTTTCAGTCATTATTCCTTTTATTTCACTCTCTTGTCTAATTGCTCTGGCTAATGTTTCCAGAACTATATTGAATAAGAGTGGTGACGGTGGGTATCCTTGTCTTGTTCCTGATTTTAAAGTGAAGGCTTTCAATTTTTGTCCATTTAGTATGATGTTGGCTGTTGGTTTATCAGAGATGGCTTTTATCAGGTTGCGGTAAAGACCATCTATTCCAATTTTATGTAGTGTTTTTATCATGAATGACCGTTGGACTTTGTCAAAAGCTTATCTGTGTCTATTAAGATGATGATGTGGATGATGATGTGATTTTTGTCTTTGGCTCTGTTGATGTGACCCCTGTTAGTCTTACATTGTTTTTCTTTGCATCATCTTGAGGCTGCTGAATTGTTATTTCCTGGTTCCTTGTTATTTTTAAGAGATCTTTCCTTTCACATTCATTAGCAACACTGCTGACTTCAAGGTTTTAAAGTCTATCTTCAGTTTTGTTCAGGCGGTTTTGCCAGCTTTCAGTGGAATTCTTAATTTTCTGATTATCTGCTTGAATCTGTTTCATGCTGTCTAATTTTTTCTATGTTATTCATTCAATGTTTCCATCATTTTCCTATTCTCCTGTATTTTTATTTTATCTGTGTCTTCTTTGGATGTGTTGAGCAATTCTTTTCATGGCCTTTGTCATTCCTTTTTTCACCAGTTATTATTTCTGATGTTTTCTTCTATAGATTGATGAAGTTGTTTCTTTACTTTAGTTGCTATCATTTGAGAAATTGCAGGTATATGACTTCTAAGTTCTTCTATGCCCTTGTCTCTTAGACTTATTCTGGGTGGGATGGAGATCTCAGATTGCCTTTTGCTCTTTTATGTTGGTATTTTTGAAGCTCCCAGTGTTCACCCACACTCAGCAGTGATGTCAGAGGGGCAGGACACCCCTGCATTCTGTGACGGTGGGATAGCCTACAGCATGTTTGCCAAGCTTCAGAATTAAACTTTAATGGAGGGAGGAAAGAGCTTATTCTAGAAGCAGAGACTGTCATGTGTTCTTTTCTTTTTCCAGAATAGAATTAAGATGGGAACAGTGTTTATTACATCTTGTTATTTTGTAGTTAACCCAATAATAGTGTGAGTTGTTGGAAAACAATTCAGTATAGCTACTATAGTTATGCTAAAGATTGTAAAGCAAAAGTGAAAAATTACTTGTCCTACACACCTAAAAGTGCCCTCCAAACATTTTGGTAAATATCCTTCCAGGCCTTTTTCCAAGTGCATTATATGTACACACAACATACTCTTTTTTTTTTTTTTTTTTTTTGGTGGAACCGGGGATTGAACTCAGGCCCTTGCGCTTGCCAGGGAAGCGCTTACTCCACTGAGCCATCTCCCTGGCCCCACTTTTTTTCTTTTATAACATGTCTTTAGTTAACTATAAGTTGTAGATGTTGTTCCCTGCAAATTAAGAATCCATCTCCTAGTGTTCTTGACTCTAGAGTTTACTTAACTAATTAATCTCCTGTTGATATTTTTACTATCTTAAACACCTATGATAAAATACACTTGTCTCATTAATTCCTTTGGAATACATTACTAACGTCCATATCAGAGGATCGTCTTCTATCTCCCAGTGCCCCATCTTAGAGATTGAACCCATGGCCTTTGTGCTGAGCTACATTCCCAGAACCCTTTCCTTTCCTTTTTGTTTTAATCATTTTATTGAGAAAGAAGTAGCAGTGAAATAGTTGCAAAATAGTTTAGTAGGACAGGTACAATAATTAATACATTGCATATTGTTGTCTTTGTAGTAGTTATTCGTAGTACAAGATGCAGACATGATATCTTGTCTAAACTATTAGTTCAAAATTTTCTTCTCATTGAACTAAGAGGAAGTAGCTGTATATCTATTAAAAGAACCATC